TAATCAAACTTCAAATCAAGTTAAATATCATCACATAAATCGATACAAATAGAATATAGTACTCCCTCTGTTTTTTTTATAAAGAATTACCTATTTTCATTTTTTGATATGTTTTTTTAAACAACCCATTTCCTTTTTTTTGGCAGTACTTTCATTTCAACTTTTCACAACATATTTAAGGTCATAAGATTAAAAGGATATTTTGATACATTTGATATAACTATCATTTGAGACCACAAAACTAAAAGTTTTACTTTATTTTTCAAACTTCGTATGAAGTCAACTAACTTATTTTCTTTTAAATGAAGAGAGTAATATATATATATATATATATATATGTCGTTTAACACATGCGAAGAGGGTCATGGATATATTTCTTAAGTGAAGAAACCTTATTTAATTTCAAGTGGAGCTCATTCCAGCCTGTGTGAACAAATAAAAAAAATCTATTCATATCGAGATTTGATCCATTTCAGCAATTTTTTAAGTTAGCATTTCGACAAATTAGAGCCATTTATGTTAGGTACGTATCTCAAATCTATTATGTTGAGAGTAAATAAATTTTAAATTTTTAAATTAAAATATACTTTATGTTTTGTATTTATTTTAGGGATAAGGGCTGAAAAATACTCCAACTTTGGTCGGATTTACTATTGCGTTACTAAACTTTCATGAGGACCTATTACCTCCCTAGACTATTTAATACCGTATTTTAAACATATATATTTGCCCATGTGGACATAAAAAATAATGCAAAATTGTAAATAGTAATGTGTCCACGTGGGCACATATATACCTTTAAAATACACTATTAAATAGTTCAGGGGGTAAAAAATACGATATTAAATAGTCTAGGGAGGTAATAGGTCCTTATGAAAGTTTAGTATCGCAACAACAAATCCGACCAAAGTTGGGGTATTTTTCAGATCCTTATCCCTTTATTTTACCTTGTTATTAATGTTTTAATTATTTCTAATGCATCTCCAACATCAATGACTTATAATAACTAAGATGAACTAGAGAAGGGAGTATATAAAACTCTATGCCAGTTGGCCTATTATTTTCTAGGGTCATTTCATTTTATTTATTTTTGTATAACTTACATAAATCTCATAGTGTAAAGGGTAAATTACATCATATTCTTACTCTTTTTTTAATTACAATAATCCCTTAAAATTTGTACTTTTCGGATACATAAGTCAACATCCGGATACATTAATTCTGATACAAGATAAATCTTTTTGTTGCGCTAAAAAGGGAATAAAATCTGAAAATCTAATTAAATCCCATAAATTACGTTACGTTTCTTTTTACTCTCAATCATACAGAAGCAAATCCTAACAGAACGAATAAATTCAAAATTTTAAATTGCTCCCCTCCTGTTAAGAGAAGAAACCTTTCAGATTTGATTTAAAAACTTTTGTCGAAATTTTGGGTAAGCGAGGTGAGTTATGAAGGATAAAAAAGTGATGGAATTGTTGTTGAACAAACGATTCCTTTTGAATCTTCAAGTTCATCGAAGATCCTTTCAATTTGATTCAAGATTGTCAAAAATTTTGAGATTCAAGATTCTTCTTCCAGTTCGTTGAAGATCCTTTCAATTTTGATTCAAAATTGTTGAAAATTTTGAGATTCAAAATTCTTCTCATAGTTCATTGAAGATCCTTTCAATTTTGATTCAAAATTATCAAAAATTTTGAGAAGATACATCATGAATATCTTTGCTAGTCTTGTTACTATCATTGTCAGGGGTTTGAAGAAGTTCTTGAGCTTCTTTGAGGGCTCTTAGCATCTCCTTTCGTGCGGCCGCCTCTGTGACTCTTTCTTCCTCTATCGATATTGACTATATCGTGATACATTAGTATTTATGTATCTTGTATAAATTGATAAGTATTGTATTCCTATTAATTAGATACATTAACTAAGTAAATTTTACACGTAAAGTGTTTGCTTAGAGTTCGACACATTATTGTGTGATAGTTATTATATATCAAATACAGATAGTATATATTAATTTAAATTATTGTATCATGATGAAATATTTAGCATGATACATTACTATTTTTGTATCTTGTTGTGTTTGTGAAATACTATACTTTATAGATGATACATTATACATTTAAAAGGACAAATATACCCTCGAACTATCGTAAATAGTATGTAGATACCCTCCGTCATACTTTTGGGATATTGGTGCCCCTGCCGTTAAAAAACTAGTGCATACTTGCCTTTCACTCTAACGAAAGAGACTAAATAGGGACATATAGGGACACGTGGTGCAATCTTATCCGTCGATTCGATATTTCATAAATGTCGGGTCGATGGATAAAATTATGACACGTGTATGTCCGTTAGTATAAAGGGTATATATCCTCTAGTTTTTTGACGGTAGGGGCACCAAGGTCCAAAAAGTATGACGTAGGGTATATGCATACCATTTACGATAGTTCGAGGGTATATTTATCCCTTTTCCCTTTTGTAAAAGCATCAAAATGTTCAAGAATGAGAGTATGTATCAGATTATATTTATATTTTGTATCTGATATTAAGTATAAGTTAGCTGTCTGATTGTTTGTGATTGATACATAGAAATAATTGTTTTATGAAATGTATCACCAATTTCTTTAATGTTAACATGTTGTTGCATCATATGAGTATCTTTATTATGTCTATGATTCTGGAAGAAGATACATTATGTATTATTTTGTAGTTGATAATAATGTATTTGATACATGAATAAGGTTGTGAAAGAAGGGTGTATGTAAGCTGAAATAAAGTGTATCTATAAATGTATCGCAATAAATAAGAATTAAGTTTTCAATTAAATACATGAACAAACACAATTCATTAAAGAAATTTGATTACGAAAAACACTAGAAAACAAAGGAAAAAATTAGACTGTATGAAACTTTGGTGAAATTGAAACTAATATTATTATGAGACAATGGAAAGATTAAATAATAATACAAAAGTTCTAATCAGTTTCAATAAATGATTAGTTGTTAGAGTCCATGACCAACTCAAATTATTGAAAATTTACAAATATTATACTAATTATTACTAAATAATAACTATTACTATTACTTTTTTTTCTAATTTACGTTGTAGTGTTTAAATTTGGAAGTTCACCTATTTTATTTTATTATAAATTTTGTAGTATTTTTAAAAATAGGTAAGACTCATAAATATCTTCTTCTTTTTTAAACCTTTTTGTCTAAAAATATCCTAACCTACGGAAAACTAATTTTGAATTTTAAATGTGAATGAGAAAATAACTGCTAAGATTGTGTGACTTATAATAGGTAGAGATTTGTGGAGTGAAATAAGAAATGGATAAACATTGGTTTTGGGAGTTATGATTTATGTATTCAGTGTTTGGGAGTAAATAAGGGATTTTTGGAAAAATTTAGAACTGGTAAGGAATAATGGGAAAAAAAAGTGTGTATATAGATAATTTATCCTTTATTTATTTTTTCATACTTGGTATTAGATATTCGTATTAGAGCTCCATGTAGGGTCCCATTTGGGGAAAACACTACTTACCAAAATATGTTCATATCCAGAACTCAAATTTAAAATTATTAAATCGGAAAGAAAGTCTCATATACTACACCACACTTAACTTGTTGGTGATCCTAGGGTCCTTCTTCACCTTCTGTCTTATTTAAGGTTTTGGCACACAAACAAAGAAAACTTTTTAATCACAAAAGTTATTCCTTAGGATCCTTTCCACTTACAAACATTTTCGATGTTTACAAAATGCAAATAAATCAATAAATACTTAGAATTAAGTAAATTTGATGAGATTATAAGATTAAAAATTCGCAAGCCTGGTATGGCTTTTTAGAAAATTGTACAGATCATATATGTATATATCGTTTAACACATGTGAAGCGGATCATATATATATATATTAAATAAAGAAACCTTATTTAATTTCAAGTGGAGCTTATTTCCAGCCTGTGTGAGCAGATAAAAGTATCCATTTATAATGGAGATTGATCCATTTCAGCAAGGCTTGAAGTTAGTTTTCGATAAATTAATCCATTTAATGGATCTCAAATCAGGATATATATACTTATTTATACACTACATAGAAGCTGTGGACGTTTAAATTTTATCAAATTAGTCCATAAACTTATTTGGATGCATTTTAATTAAAATAATGGGCAACAAATGATAAGCTCGATTCTAAGATGTCATCTTATTCCAAAGGCCTAAATGGTGCTAGCCAAATAATGACATGACGTAGAACACCAAGTCAAGTGAAAGAGTCAATATGATCATGTTACGTGTAGTGACATATCATACCTAATCAAATCAAATACTAATGAAAATGTGTCTTCCAACATGTTTCGATCAATCAAATACCATCATGTTATTTAAATTTTATATATGGGCTGAAAAGTGTACTTGTCATTATCAAAACTCTTTCATCCTATATACTACGATAAATAGAGTTTTTCATAATTCAGAAAATGACCAAAATTCTAACAAGAAGTCAGGGAGAACTTATGGATCAAACGCCATAAATTTCTCTACAAGCATTCAAGTATATTTGTTTACAAGTTTCAGAAATCAAGACAAAGACTCAAGATCAAGCATCAAACCCTTGAATTCAAACCCAAATTAAATAAAAATTCATTAAATTTAAGATCAAGCTACAAGATCCATAAATTCATATTAATTTCAATCTTAATTATTATTTTCTGTGAATTTTATAGTTTCAGGAAGCATGAGATAATTAAGATTCCCGTTTGATATGTCTGGTGGGCATTCAGAGGTCAATTTGGTTATTTTCATTAAAATGGAGCAATATATATAATCGAACAAAAATATAATCTTACTGTGACTGAGGTATACAATACTACCTTTGATTAGATCATACTCCATCATCACACAATTTCCCACACAATAGCTTAACTTAGGCATCATTTTTTTTAAATTAAAATTTAGACGTCTGAATGATCTGAATACACAATTGAATAATTAAAATGTCTCTAAAAAAGATGGTTAATGAGCGCCAAGGCATTGCTGGCAAGTTTGGTAATATTTGCCATGCTACTATTTATCATTTTCTTCACAGTTGGATTTACCTTCCGGCCAGAAAACCCATCGGTACACGAATCCGCGTCTGTTATTACAGAACTCGCGTACGTTTTAGCATTAGCTAACTGAAATTCCTTATCTTTATCACCTAAATGTCCCATTGCATCAACAGCCTGCTTCAGTTCGTACACTGCATCCTTCACATCTTCTATGCAGTCTTTAATTATGGATGCTTCAATTCGGGTTATTCCCTTTTGTTTTTTCAGTGTTGAGACAGTGGTAGAGGCGTTTTTTGCGCCTTTTATGGTTACATCAAGGGCTGCTTTGCATAACTTTGTGGAGTTGGTTTTCACTGAAGAAGCATAAGGAATTAGTGTTTTTTGGCAAAGGGAAATGTATGTGGTGACGTTGCATTTAGTTTTGATGAAGTTTGTGTAGGCTTCATTAGCAGCTGTGGCTGTTTGTGGTAGTGAGATGAATAAAACAATTGTTAAAAGGGGCAGTATAAAGCTTTTGCAAATAGACACCTCCATTATTTGATCTCGTACGTGTTATATTGTTGGGAAATATAATTTGAATGTGTTGGAAATAGAGAAAAAGACGTGAATATATAGAGAGAGATGAATTTGGCAATGTGGGAGATTTTGCTTAACTGTGATCGATCAATATTATTTGATCGTGAGAATAAAATTGCTGTAAGATACACAAAAATGAGTTGTGAATGTGCAGTATCAAATTATCTCGCCGTCACAGACGGTAGCAGCTACAATTAAAGTCACATGCAAAATCAATTTATCCTAGCTATGTCTTCTAATTTACGTGTGTCTATATGCATTTAACACACATATCCAAATCCAATACATTCTACACCTTGAACTATCGCAAACAAGGGTGGCTAAAAAAAATCGATGGTCTAAAGTGAACTTTAATTAATAGGAAGTTTTATGTTTTTGCTCAATAATTTTTAAAAGAAAAATTGAACTATAATTTATTATAAGTAAAATTTGTTGGGTCTCGTCTTTTCTTAATTAGAAGTTTTGTATTCGAGCTTTGTAATGATAAAATTTTTATTAGAGATTGTTTTTCTTTTTAATTAACTTCGCGCTTGTCTCAAAAATCGAATCATCAGAAAATTCAATATAATTATTAAACATCGAATCAAATAACAAAGCTCCCAAAAGTTTGGAACCTATATGGCTCAACCTTGTGGCTGGTCTGAGTGCACACCACATGGTATCAGACTTGAAGATAATTATGCTGACCAATTCATATTTATTCTCTAGACTAGAAGAGCATTATCTCGACCATAGGAGTTGATGAACGTAACGTGGCCAGAAAATGAAAAATAAAAATGATAGCACGTAACGCTGCGGAAGTGGAGGAAATATATTTATATATCCACCCATGTGTCTAAGATACGGAAGCCTAACCACCTCAATTCACCATTATGATTTATGAACTTTAATAATATTTGTGCTTTACGCAAGAGAAGTTCACGTTTTCATGAGATTAGTTTGCGTGGGTTTCTGATTATCATAGTGTTTCAAAATGCATGCACGTTGTAGGTACTTCTTTCTTTGGAGGCGGTTATAGCAAAAATTTGGAGTCACTCAATTTATTAGATACATTTCATTTTTCGAGAGTCAAACAGTTTAAGTTTGATTGGAAATTACGCATGAAATCTTCAATTTTTTTTGAAATAAAATTTATATATTTGTAAACTACGTAAAAAGTACTATAAGTCACCAATTAGGGGTGTAAAAAATGAGTCCAAATATAGGTAATCCGCCCAACCCACCCAGAATTTTAAGGGTTGTGCTTAAGATAATTTGAAGTGAGTTCTATCTCAACCTATTTAAACCCAAACTCATACAAGGGAATCATCAATTGAGCCCAATTTAATCTTCAATTCCAAGCCGTTTTAAGACTCTTTATTTGCATTGATGTAATGCATGATTCTATATTAAATGTATGAATTACTATCTATTTTATATGTTTTAGGATTTATTTGCCACTTATACCTATTTTAAAAAAATATTCTTGTGTTGAAATTCAAATTGTGGTTATAAAAGTTAAATAACAATATGCTAAAATTATTCAGATTAAGCAGGTCAAATTTGACGGGTCATGACCCAACCCGATTTTTAGCCCAACCCATTTGAGCCCAAACTAAACTTGGGCGAGTCAATACACTCAATTTCTATATCAACCTATTTTAATATCTTCAATTTCAACCCAATCCCGCCCATTTGACACCCCTTAGTCACATTAATAATTGAAAGTCCAAATATTTAAAAGATATATGAAAAATTTAGTGTAAAAAATAGACTTGCTTGAATCTCAAAATTCGAAATATGTCACATAAATTGAAACGAAGGGAGCAGTAAGGAAATTTATGTTGTACGTATCCACTATTTGTTCCTTTAAAGTGACGTTAGTTAAAAGATTTTAGGTATTATGAAACTCATACTTTCGTAGTTTATTATTAATCTTAGGTAGTTGGTAGTTATACGTAGATAATTATGATGGATGATAATAATAGTTAATAATAGTAATAACAAATTACGAGTGATACATGATCCTTACATAGTAAAAGTTGATGGTGAGGAACTGAGGATGATTGTCAATCATGTATTAGTGATTGGTAATTCTTTTATTATATAAGAGAGAGTTCACGCCTTCTTCAGCGTATTTCGAAAAAAAGAAAATTAAAATTAATTTCTTTTTTTCTACTTTAATTTAATTAGTGTATAATATTTTTGAAATTATGGGATCCGTTTTAGCTATGACTTTTAGTTTTAAATTCATATTCTTTAGTTATAGCTTTATTATTTTTAATGTCGGTAATATTTGGTTATATTTTGTAACTACTTTGAGTAAAAAATCAAGGGAAAAAGGACAAATATACCCCGAACTATCGTAAATGGTATGCAGATATCCTTCGTCATACTTTTGGGACATTGGTGCCCCTGCTGTCCAAAAACTAGAGCATATATACCTTTATACTAACGGACATATACGTGTCATAATCTTATCCACCGATCCGACATTTACTAAATATCGGATTGACGGATAAGATTGCACCACGTGTCCCTATTTAGTCTTCCGTTAGAGTGAAGGGCATATATGCTCTAGTTTTTGAATGGCAAGGGCACCAATGCCCCAAAAGTATGACAAAGGGTATCTGCATACCATTTACGATAGTTCGGGGGTATATTTGTCCTTTTTCCCAAAAATTAATGATCGATGACAAAATATACTTTAATTATGGACATCTTAATGGACCTCTTCACATTAAATTTCCGCAAACAAACAAACAGTAATTAACAACTTAAAAAATCTATTTAATTAGCTTTCTAAATTCTATCTGTATCACAATAATAAAAATAAAAATATAATAGATATTGGACCCGTACTAGCACGGACACATGCGTCTAGAAATAATTATAAATAATGGCTAGTGATAATTAATGATAGTTGACTGTACCGATGATAGTTATGGGTGCACTGATGGTATAATTGATCATATAATGATGGAGTAGTGATAAAATATCATTCTAAATTCTTAGATGAATAACATCTTAATGATATTAAGACTTTGGTATAAGAAAATAAACACTTAACTCCAGCTAGCTAGGCACATACACATAAAAGTGTTTTTTTTCTTTCCATTTGTTTATATTGTAAAAAGCATTTCTTATTTTTCTTTGACAACTGCGAATAATAATTTAGGTGCTGATTTGGCACACCTTATGTCCGTTCACTGCTTTTACATGTCCTTATCAAACAAAACAACAAAGGAAGTTTCTTTGTTTCACATACTTCACACATTTCTCATCCCTTCAGACCTCTAGTCCTAACCAGTGGGAGCTAACAAAAAAGATGAAGAGTGTTGCTAAGGTTGTGCTTGTACTTTCTATCATCATATGAATACTCTTGACACCTACCGTTGCGTGGCGTCGTCGTGGAACTAGGGGGTATGGATCCATCCCATCAGATCGTGCTCATGATCATGCCAGGACAAACAGCAACAAAAATAGCTCATCATCCACCACCACCTCCGTTGGCTGGTACTCCATGGCAATGGCTTTGTTTTCTTACCTTAATTTTCCTTACTTTTGAACTATAGTATATTTAATTTGTGCAATTCATGTAAATATGTATTGTCACTGTTCGACTTGTACTTGAGTTTGGGTACAAGGCATTGAGTTCCCAAGGTTTATTTGCTTCCCATTAATGTATCGAGTATTGATTGTTTTATCTTTAAAAATATGCTAGGATCTTGAATACGTGAGTTCTATGTGTATGTTGAGTCATGTAATACGTACACGATTATTTAATTAAAAAGTGAAGTTAGTATTAATATAAAATAAAATAAAATATAACTTTAAATAAATAATTATACATGTATTTGAAAATCATCACAAATTGAAGTAGCTTATCTGCTTTGATATTTATGAAAGTCACAGAAAGAAAATAGTGGTACAACACGGATTTTATTAATTTTTTTCTTGATTCGATGTATAGATGTTCTATCTTTGGTCACCTTTGTGATTATTTTAGATGAATAACACTTCTAATGTTCGAAACTCATTTAACAATTGTGATCCCGCAAAAAAAGAAAAGGCTTAAGTCATCAGCGGCCCCTTAAAGTTGTCCGCATAATTCACTTAGACATCTCAACTAAGACTAATACCTATTGAACACTTTTACCTATTCAAAAATTGTTTCTATTAGGCATTTTTTGATAATTAGCAAAATATATGAAGAGTGTGTGATACACTTGCGGTGACGTGGCAAAACAGCAAATTAAAAAATAACATGTGTCACTGGGTCCCGAAAATTATTAAAAAATAATTTTGTTTAAAATTATTTCAAACACTTTTTATATCTAATTTTTTTAAAAAGAAAAAGAAAAAAATGAAAATGTCAACCTATTCTACCCAACCCCACCCCTACCCAACCCCCTTTCATCTTCATCTTCTTCCCAAAACACATTCTTTCTCAAATCACAAAACCTAATTCTTTTCAAATAACTTGAAGATTAACTTTTAAAAAATATATATATACATTTTCATACTAAGAGTGAAGAAGAAAGAAAATTTTACCGGCGGTTATTCATTTCTACATCGTTGACAAAATGAAATTGATAGCTCAAAAATTAATTCTTTCAATTTTTTGAATATCATTTTTGATAAATTTAATGGGTTTATATATGAATTTGAGTAAAAATCTTTGTTCGAAAATTTTGATAAACAAATATCGGCTAACTTTTTTTATACATAAAAATCATTTATCTTCTTTCTTCTTCTTCATATTTGTTCCTTGTTTTTATGAGATTTGAAATAAATCATACAAATCTTCATAGTTGATTTTCATTTCTCTTCATATTTGAAAGAAATAATATTCTTTTATTTATAAAAAAGAAAGAAAAACAATGTTGGAGCTAAAATGAAGAATATATTAATGTTTTGTAAACTAAAATATGAAGAAGATGATAGGTAGGGAGTGAGCTCCTTTTCTTTTTTGAAAA